GCAGGTGCTCTTATCATCACCCCATTTTGCAGATGAGGAAACTGAGGTCCAAGGAGGACGTGCTAGGAGGTGACAGAGCTGAGACGGAGCCAGGCCTTGCCACCCCAAACACATGGGTGTTAGCACATTCTTTTTGTGAAGTTGGACGGAAGCTGAGCAGGGTAAACAGGCAGAGAGGGGCTCGGGGGAGCAGGGCCTGGCGGCTGAGCCGGGGAAGGTGTGGAGAGCTGTGTGGGCCAGAGGGCCTGGCTCGGGGGAGCCCGGGGAACCGAGCCGAGCAGGGCACTATGGCAGGGGAAGGCAGCCCGAAGCCACAGGCTGGGGACCAGGGTGAGTGGGAACTTGGAGCCGGTCAGACCCCAGTTGGAGTCCCGGCTTTGTCACTTCCGCTGTGTGACCCCCCCACGCTCAACACCCCCCAACTCTGCAGCCTGCAGTTCTTCAGCTGGGGAAGAGAAATAATAACCCTGCTTGTTGCTGTGGTAGGTGCTTAATAATTACTTGTTAAATATACAAAGGAGGCAGTGATGCCTCCGTGAGATCGAGGAGGCATTCTCTGGCAGGGGTTGGCAGCCGCTCCTGTGGGAGGAGCTGCAGAGAAGGGGTGACTGGTTCCGCTCGGCCCAGGGCTGGGCTGTGTGACCTTGGGCAAGTCTTGTTGTCTCACCGAGTAACAGTGACCTCACCCAGTAACAGTGACCTCAGAGGCCGTGGTGGGACAGAATGAGATCCATAAGGACCTGCAAGACTGGCACCGGCTCCTGCACTCCCCCCACCCCCATCCCCACCAAGGGAGCTGAGTTTCAGGAAGGGCCGGTGCTGTCTGGGGCCAGCGGGGCCAGCGGGGCCAGCCGAGGTGCCACCCACCGTGTCTCCCATTAGTGGCCAGAGTGTGCGGAGGGAGATTTGCCCTCACAGCCTGCCCAGGTCTCTGGGACCTGCCAGTGCTACTGCCCGTTTGTCAGCTTTTCTTACGCAGAGGCAGGTGTAGGCAAGGAGGAGGCATTTAGTGTCACAAAATCGTCAGGAGAACCTACAAGTTGACAGGGTTGGATGGTCTCCCTGGTCGGCAGGGTCCCCAGCCCCTCTCTAATTCCTCAGGAAGGGGCAGGATGTCAGCGATGGCAGCCCTGCCGGGCACCTTTGGATCTGCCCCGAGACCCCACTTTCCTTCACTGTGCCCCGTCGGACACTGCCACACCCTGCTCTTGGTCTCGGTTTTCCTAGTTGTCCAGTGAAATCTGGACGAAGGGTGTGCAGATGTCGGATGGCCATAGCCCAGTAACATTAAAAGAAATAAAACGTCTGGTAGCTGGCACAGCGTTGTCAGCTCTTCATCCGCCAAGAGAGGACATTACATTTTAAAGGCAGCCAGCGTGGCCCGTCCCAGTCGCTTCCTAAAAGAATGTTTGCCCCTGAAAGAGTCCCAGGATGCTACCCTAGAGCAAAGGACAGCCTCTGTCGTCCGCCTTCTGCTCATTTTGCCACGAGCCAGCGGCCTGCACGTGGGGGTTTGGAAACCCCGGTCCCCACCTCAGCAATCCCGCTGATAATGTCGTTTTACGTCCAGCTCTGTGGGTCTCACTAAAGCCAGGCAGGATGAGTGGCCCCAGGACTGGAGGAGGAACCTCGGCCAGGGAGAGGGAGGACTTGTTGGAGATCATGCTGCAGAGCGTGACAGAGGGACCCGGCCCCTCCCTGCCTCCCAGGGCCTCCGTGGTGGCAAACAAGCCCGGAACCGCACCCTTTCAGTGCACGCTCAGCGCACGCAAATCGGACCAGCTCCCTGTCCGGAAACGTGCAGTCTGATCGTAGGAATAGTGCGGGCTCCTGAACAGCAAGCGTGTGTTTTTGTTTTGATAAAGTATCTCTGTTGGGAGGACGATGGTACTGACTCGTCAAGGCCTCTTGTCCCTCTCCTGCCATCTGTGCCCCCTCCTCTTGCGCACCTTCCCTTGGGCCGTGTGCTTCCCCGGGAAGCCCCTCATGACAAACAAGGAAAGAAAACCTGGCCATCTCCCAACAGTTGTGAAAACAAAATGCCAAGCTCCTACTTTCCACTTTTTGGGGCGGCGTTGCTCGGGTCAGCCCGGGCATTGGCAGGTGAGCCTCTCAGTCCTGCCAAAGGGGTGGCAGGAGAATGTGCTTATTTGAGCAGGTCACTGTAAACTGAGGGTCTTTGGGGTGACAGAGCTGCGAACGGGTGGCTCCGTGGTGGAGGGTGCTGGGTCTGGGGAGTGCTGGGAGCCGGCACTGCTGAATGTGTGCCGTGGCGCTGGGACCCCCCCCACAGGGTCTGACAGATGGCAGGCGCCCAGGAAACCTGCTGTGGCCTGTGGGAGTGGGGCAGGGGTGCCCCCTCGGGCTGTACTGTAGGGGCCGATGGGTGGTGGGGCTGGGGTGATGGAAGGACAGCGGCTGGGGGGTGAGGGTTGAAGCTGGGGGTGGGGCTGCCCTTGTCCATGTGGCTTGGCTGAGTCTCCCGCCCCCCTCACAAATGGGGAGTAGTGGGCAGTGCTGGGCCAAGGGAGGCCCCATATCTATGGCATGGGGGGGACCAGCTCCCTCACACCCCCGGGGCCCTGCTCAGAAGGTGGGAGCCCCACGAACAGCCTCTTCTGCAACATAAGCCGAACCTACCAGCCCCACTGAGCAGAGAATTGGGGTCCCCAGAACCCTGGGTTTGCGTTTGGCCTTGGGCAAGGCCCCCATCATCTTTGTAGCTTAGTGTCCTTACCTATCAGAGGCCCAGGCCACCATATCTTGTCCCCTCTGCCTCTCTCCTGGACACCTGCGGACAGTGGTCCAGGGCCTGTTGGCGCTGGGCTGGTGCCCTCTCTTCCCTTGTCCCCAAACCCACCCCATCCCCCTCCAGGTAGGAGGTGTATCAGGAGCTCGGGGGTGGGTGTGAGGAGGCCTTGCTCAGGGCTGGCCCACCAGCCCAGCTTGGGGACCCTTAGCACATCCTTCCCATCTCTGGACTTCCCTGGCCTCACACGAGGGTCTTGAGCTCAGTGGTCTTACATTCCTCCTGCTCTGACAGTCTGCAGTGCTGATGGGGACATTTAAGGCAGTGGGACAGAGCAGAGGGGGAAAGACCTCCTAGAAAACTCTCTGTCAACCAGAGGGCATACCCAGTCCCTAATCCCCTCAGGGCTACACCTGGAGCCCTGCTGCTGGGACTCTGGGGGAGGTGGCAGGGAGGGTCTGGGACTCCCAGCTGTGGAGGGCCAGCATTGCATGAGAGGCCACGCCCGCATGGCCTGGCGGGTCTTCAGAGTGAGGGGGCTCACTGCTCTCACTTTCGAGGTGAGGAAACTGAGGTTCAGAGGAGTCAATCCAAGTCACACGATGGATCTGGGACTCCAACCTGGGATTGTGGGGACCAGGGAGCTCCTTTGCAGGGGGGCTGGGAGAAGAACCCGGAGTCGGGGGTGGGGAGGTGGGAGTGGCCGCGGGGGAGGAGGGGGCAGGGCTCACCCCCTGGGCTGGGAGAAGGAGTTTCTTTTGGGAAGAGGCAGGCTCTGAAGCTGTTGATCTCTAAATTATAGCGTTGGCGCGCACCGGTTGCTGCGGCAACCGAGTTGTCCTGAACCGGGGAAGTGTATAAACATTGCCACAGATGCACAATTAGATCAGGAAGAAGAATAGAACAGAAAATAGAAACTTCCAGCCTTATATAATTCTGGGCCAAAATGTTATCAGGAACCCAGGCCGGGTCCTGGCCCTGCCAGCAGCCGGGCAGGGGCAGCACTGTCTCTCTCCCTGGGGACCCAGTGGCAGGGAGGAGGAAGAGGGTCTGCCCTCCATGGGCCCAGCTGGTATGTCCCGCCACCAGATAGGGAGAGGGGCCTCCTCCGCTGGGACAGCTGGGGACGCTGACAGTCAAATCCAGCCTCTCACCAGCTCCTGGGAAGTGACGCGGGAGGGAAGCAGGGAGGCAGCTGGCTCTAAGGGAGCAGCTACTATCTCCTTCGTCCTGTGAGGGAGGGTTGATTCCCATTTTACAGATGAGGATATTGAGGCTCAGAGAGGGGCAGCACAGCTAGGTGGTAGGTGTGTCTGCCTCTCCCACTCCTGGTCTACACACCTCTACTCATTAATGTTGATGCTACTTGAGTCTGGGTCCTCTGCCAGCCGTGTGGCCCTGGGCAGGTCGCTTTCCCTCTCTGAGCCACCTGTGACATGGGAGTAGCAAAGCCTACACAGGGGTCAAAGCTCAGGGCGCCCCTCCTCCCTCCTGACCACCACACTGCGTTCTCCACCCACCACTGCTCCCAACAAGCATGGGAGCCAGGACAGGCCAGCATCTGGGGCTCGGGGACTCAAAGCTGGGAGGGAAGAGTCTAAAAGAGGAGCTCGGACCATGCTGTCCAGGAGAAGTCTCTGCAGTGATGGAAATAGTTGCCGTATCTCCTCTGTCCAGGAAGGTGGCCATTAGCCACGTGTGCCTCCTGAGCACGTGAAACGTGGCGTGTGCAAGCAGGAACTGAAGTCAAACTTCTATCTAACTTTAATTCGCTGTAAAGAGCCACAGACCAGCAGCTGCTGCACTGGACGGCAGAGGAGGATGCCCACCCCTGAGAGGCGGAACCCAGGGAGGTTAGCAGGGCCAGAGTGTCTCGGCTCCCTGTGCTCGGGGCAGGCAGGACAGGTGGGGGAAGTTGGAGCCAAGATGGGCATCAGGAAGCTTCCAGGACAGTGGGAAAAGGAGGGTTGGAGGGGTAGCGTTGAGGGACAGAGACTAGCACTTGGACTTTAATGGCCTTAGCTCCCTGGTCGGCCAACCCCAATCCCAGAGCGGGGCCAGCCTAGGGGGCACTGGCTCAGGCCCCGTCATCAGAACTGCCCCAACAGTCGCATTCTGCCTGCTGGGGCTGGGAAAGTCTTGGGTTCTGATCCAGCCTCTTCTCCTTCTGGGCGTCTTTGGCTGAGCCTGGGCTCCCCTGTGGCAGCCCCTGGCTCCCCGGTGCCTCACCTGTCCGGCTTCTCCTCCCCAGGCCCTGCATCTTCCCAGGTGACCACGCCGGCTTCAGGACATGCACGGGCACAGCCGCAACGGGCAGGCCCACGTGCCCCGGCGGAAACGCCGCAACCGCTTCGTCAAGAAGAACGGCCAATGCAACGTCTACTTCGCCAACTTGAGCAACAAGTCGCAGCGCTACATGGCGGACATCTTCACCACCTGCGTGGACACGCGCTGGCGCTACATGCTCATGATCTTTTCCGCGGCCTTCCTTGTCTCCTGGCTCTTTTTCGGCCTTCTCTTCTGGTGTATCGCCTTCTTCCATGGTGACCTGGAGGCCAGCCCGGCGGCGCCCTCGGCGGGGGGCCCGGCGGGCAGTGGCGGGGCAGCCCCCTCAGCCCCCAAGCCCTGCATCATGCACGTGAACGGCTTTCTGGGCGCCTTCCTGTTCTCGGTGGAGACGCAGACGACCATCGGCTACGGGTTCCGGTGCGTGACGGAGGAGTGCCCGCTGGCGGTCATCGCGGTGGTGGTCCAGTCCATCGTGGGCTGCGTCATCGACTCCTTCATGATTGGCACCATCATGGCCAAGATGGCAAGGCCCAAGAAGCGGGCACAGACACTGCTATTCAGCCACCATGCGGTCATCTCGGTGCGTGACGGCAAGCTCTGCCTCATGTGGCGCGTGGGCAACCTGCGCAAGAGCCACATCGTGGAGGCCCACGTGCGGGCCCAGCTCATCAAGCCCTACATGACCCAGGAGGGCGAGTACCTGCCGCTGGACCAGCGGGACCTCAACGTGGGCTACGACATCGGCCTGGACCGCATCTTCCTAGTGTCGCCCATCATCATCGTCCACGAGATCGACGAGGACAGCCCGCTCTACGGCATGGGCAAGGAGGAGCTGGAGTCGGAGGACTTTGAGATCGTGGTCATCCTTGAGGGAATGGTGGAGGCCACGGCCATGACCACCCAGGCCCGCAGCTCCTACCTGGCCAGCGAGATCCTGTGGGGCCACCGCTTCGAGCCCGTGGTCTTTGAGGAGAAGAGCCACTACAAAGTGGACTACTCACGCTTCCACAAGACCTATGAGGTGGCAGGCACGCCCTGCTGCTCCGCCCGGGAGCTGCAGGAAAGCAAGATCACCGTGCTGCCCGCCCCGCCGCCCCCGCCCAGTGCCTTCTGCTATGAGAACGAGCTGGCCCTCATGAGCCAGGAGGAAGAAGAGATGGAGGAGGAGGCGGCAGCCGCCGCTGCGGTGGCCGCGGGCCTGGGCCTGGAGGCGGGCTCCAAGGAGGAGGCGGGCATCATCCGAATGCTTGAGTTTGGCAGCCACCTGGATCTAGAGCGCATGCAGGCCACCCTCCCGCTGGACAACATCTCCTACCGCAGGGAGTCCGCCATCTGACCTCCAGGCCCAGCCCGAATCACTGCCCACATGAGCCTCTGCCGGGGGGTGGGCACCAGGACACCCCCTAGCGCACTAAGGACAGAGCTGACCCTGGCTCCATGGACCTTCCAGGGGAAGGTGGGGGCATCAAAGACTGCGAGACCCCTTCCTGCTGACTCCCAGGCCAGGAAGGGCCCACGATCCCTCAGCCGGGTCAGCCTGGGTTCCCCAGCACCTCCCCACGGCGGCTCTGGGCCCCCAGACCCACCACCCTTTCCCCACCAACTCTTCAAGGACGCTCCCCCTTTACTCTCAGAACTTGGGGAAGGCGGCTGGACTGCTGGGGGGCATCTTGGGGTTCTGGGGTGGGCAGGGGGTTAGTTTGGGGGAGGGAGGGGTGTGCGTTTCTTTTGCATGACTGTGGCCTGTTGCTGATGACTTCCTTTTGTAAATATCTATAAATGGAGAGAGACAGAGACACCAAATTCACCTTCTGCCATTTTTACCTGCAGGACAAGGAGATGCAGCCCCTCTCTGTGCACCCCACCCCTCCCCACCTGTCAAGTCTAGCCCCTCCCCTGCCCAGCCGGCCAGCCTCTTGAGGCCCTCAAAGCCAGCCACCTTGGCCCTTGGACGGTGTTAGGCTTGGGTGGAGAGTCAGGACCCCAAGGGGCAGGATGAGGGCCTGTCCCTCCGTGCGGCCCCTCTGCGCTCCCAGGCCCAGCCCAGATTGACAATGGAGTTTGTAACTATATATTTTTAATAAAGTATACGGTCCAGTAAGGTAGGCTGGTTGAAGATGGAGGGTTAGAAAGGAGAAAGAGAGAGAGAGAACACACATGTGCATCTGTGTGTGCCTGTGTGTAGTATGTGTGCCTGTGTGTAGTATGTGTGCCTGTGTGTAGCATATATGTATTTGTATGTAGTATATGTGTCTCTGTGTCTGTATGTAGTATACGTGTGTCTGGGTGTGCCTGTGTGCAGTATGTGTGTGCCCTTGCTGAGAGACGACCCTTGGAGGGAACTTTTTCACCCACCATTTTCCTTCCTTGAGTCAACAGAAGGACCCCGAGTTGGCACCACAGAACCTGGGTTTGGGTCCAAGCACGGCTACTTAGGGGCTGCGCAACAGTCAGCAAGTCGCCGGGCAGTTCTCGGTCTCAGTTTCATCATCTGCAGAATGGGATTAACCATCCGAGCCCTGTGTCCACTGAGGTGGAAGCGGGATGGGCCCAGCCGAGTCACACCCTCACACACGGGCACGTGCACACACGTGCTGACGAAGTTGGTTGCAGGGTGCGGTGGGAAGGGCTCTAGTTTAACAAGGGAAACCTGGTCACAGTCCAGGCTTGGTCTCTGCTCACTGTGGAACCTTGGGTAAGTCTCTTCCCTTCTCTGAACGTGGACAGCGACAATTCATTCTTTCTCAGGTCCCTGTGCTGCAGTTGCTCATGCGATTTCTCCTGGGCTTGCTCTGCAGCTGTGCTCAGCTAGAATGTCAGCTGGGTTGGACGACCCAGATGGCCGCACCTACACGTCAGCATTGGCCTGGATGCCTTCTGGGGGCTTTGGTTCCCCTCCAGGGCTCTTCCTCCTACAATAGGCTACATCCGGCTCCTTCATGGTGATTCATGGCAGCAACCTAAGAGGGCAAAGGTAGAAGCTGCAAGGTGTCCGGAGGCCTGGCCTCGAACTTGCATGGCATCACTTCCACTGCGTTCTATTGCCCAGTTCAGGTCATGAGGCCAGCGCAGATTCAAAGAGTGGAAACGAGACTCCACTCTTGAGAGAATGATAAAGTCACATTGCAAAGGAAATACACCCCAGGAGGGAACCGTGGCCATACTTGGTAACCTATCACAGAGACTTGGAGTTTGAGGGATCCTTCCTGCTCTAACGCTATGCTACATGCCAGTTGTGCCCCCAGCTATCAGGTTGTAAGAAAGCAGACTCTCCCTGGTCCCAGAAATCATCTCTGCAAAGGTACCAGCTACCTCCATGTACACAGGGAAGCAGCAGGCAAGCTCACCCACTGTGGAGTGTGGTGCGCTGCCTTGTGAATGGCCACATTTCGCCAGCACTGCCAGTTGGGTAAACCACTGTGCGTCCTGCGCGCTTTAACAGTTTAACAAGGGAACCTGAGGCCTCTTTCCTGGAGAAACAGACTAGGTTGGGAGCCAAGTCCCTCCACAAACAACTCATAATGTCTCTCATTTGCATAATGCCTTTCTCATCCTTTGTATCACTGAACTCTCACCACACTCCTAGAGGAAGGCGGGACAGAGGTTATGGACTCCTTTTACTGATGAGAATGTGGAGGCCCAGAGAACTAAGGAACTGGTTTGAATGGAGGTGAGGGCTTCAGAGGCTGGGCCGCCTTTTCCTTACTGCCCTCCGCCCCAGGCAGGGCTCACCCCTCCCCCGCCCGATGACCCAGAGTGCGCCTGTGACCTGCAGGGGCCTCCAAGAGCCTGCCGGGGCCACTCAGCAAGGAAAGAACTCAGCTGCCCGTCTGCCCCTGGTGTCTCACCCCCACCCCCAGTGCCTCCTGAGAGATGTCCCTCCATCCCGCCCTGTAGTCCCTGGGAACCCCCCTCCCTCTCCCCCTCCACCCTCTCCTGCTCCTTCTTGTCCTCCTGACACCTTAGCGCCTTGGACCATGAGCAGTAACTGCAGAGCACTTAGGCTCAGGCGCTCTTGGACTCAGAACCTTCAACCCGGAGCACATCTTAGAGGGTGCCCAGCCAGGGCACGGGGTGGGAAGGGGTACACATGGGTCCTCCCACAAGGGCCCCCATCCAGAGTAACACGGGGCATTTCAGGGTCCCTTTCAAGCATCTTCTTCATCACCAGTTTGCCACTTGTTCAGACACGTGTGCAATTGCTCCTTTAGGAAGGGCCTCGTCTCTCTGGTCACATGCAAGGTGACCTGTGGGGCACAGAAAAGGCACGTTTGACAAGAGCCCCAAACCAGGACTTTCTGGAGCGCCAAAGGGAGCACGGGTGGCACTGGGGGAGGGGCCGCGGTGCTGAGAGCCCAGCACACAGATGCAAACTCCTGCTCACTCAGCTCCGGCTGATTCACCTTCCCTCTCCCACCTGTTCCCCTTTCGCAGCCCTCCCACCTGCCTCCCTCCTCGTGCAGCTCCTCTGATCTCTCTCCACTCCCGGCTCCTGGCGGCTGAAATAGGGGGATCGCTGCCTCTGGGGGTGTAAGAACCTCAGATGTCATGGAGCTTGGAATCACGCTGAAGGGGCCTCGGAGGTGCCACCAAGCCATCCTCCCTCCATGCCAGCTTCCCTGCAGAGCCAGGAGGGGAGGCCGCTCCTACCTGCTCTGCCTTGCCCTCTCTTGCGACTTTGGTCACAGCCGGGGCTGGGGGGCGAGGTGGCCAGGGAAGAAGGAAGGAAGTATCAGGAAGAAAGGGGGGAAGAGAGGTGGGGGGAGAGAAGAGAGGTGGGTCTCACAGAAGCCGAAAACCTTGCCCTCCTCTAGCCACACCTGCCTGCCTGCCTGGAACCCCACCGTCCCGGGTCCCAGCGCAATTGTGTAGACTCAGCACGGCTTCCTTCCCGCCAGGAACTCAAATAGCTTACAGAAACATGGAGAACTTAGGAGGCATTCAACTCTGCTTCTTCACCTCACCGAGCTCTCTCCCCACCTCTGTCAGGCAGCTGTTAGGTCACATGGCTGGGATCAGGGGACCTGCTTCCTCTGTTTTTCTCATCGTAGTTTTTCTAGGCACTGACTTGTCTGCGTGTGGATGGATTCCACGTATTTTCCGTTTTTAACGACTAGAATGTTCATAAAATCACACAGCTCAGTGGGCCTTTGTGGGTCATCAAGGCTGCTCTTCATCCACAGGTGGGGAAACTGAGGCCTGGACCAGGGTAGCCTTGAACCCGGCTCTCCTGGCTCCTGGGTCAGTGCCCTTCCCACTGCTAGACACAGGACCAGCTATACAATTTGTGGGAGCCATGGCCAAAGGCGGGTCCCTTGTTCAAAACTCAGGAAAGCAGGGCCATGAAAGGCACTAAAATATAAAACTTGTTCCTTTCTTCCGACTTCCTCCTCTGCTCACGGGCGTGTTGCATTGTCCCATTGACGTTCACCTACAAGACACAATTGCAAAGATAAAATTAAGAATTTTGAGACAGATGGCAGAGCATTAAACCAAATTTTGGTCCCTGCCTGAAGCCAGCCCTGCAACGAGCTCCGCTGGCCCGACTCTCCCGCTACCGCGGGGCGTCCTAGAGAAGCCCGCCTTTTCTCTGCGACACCTCGTGCTGTGATGAGCATCTTTGTACAGTTTTCTTTCTTCTTGTGGCCGTTTGCTTTGGCTAAGCACTAAGCACAAAGAATAACAAGATTCTGGCCTGTGTTTGCCAGACTCTCTAGAAAAGCAGCCTTCAGCATCCGAATCTCTCCACAAGGACTGTGTCAACCTGGGTTCCACGACTGGAGAGGGAAGAAACAAACCCCCCCCCCATAGCTTCGCCAGGGGCTCCCAGCTGAGAAGGTGAGTGCAGATGAGGAAGAAAGGCAGGCATGGGGCACAGCGGCAGGACCAGGGCACGGGGCCAAGACCACTGGCACCTATGTGCCTATCTGCAGAGAGCAAAGATCATGGGAGCGAGAGCCAGAGGGTCCTAGGTCTGAATTCTGCCTTTCCCACTCACTAGCTGTGTGACTTCGAGCAAGTTAATTTATGTCTCTGAGCCTGTTTCCCATCTGTATCTATCTCACATGTTTATAGTGCGGATTAAATGGGGTCTCATATGAGGCATGGCATGGTGGCATCAGGTACATTATTAGGCCGAAATAAATGTGAGTTGCCTTCTGGAAAGGATTTTGATTGGCTTACAATGTAAGATACACGATTTGCAAACAGATCTCTGAGCTTCCTGGCAGCCGTGCAAAAAGGGACACCTGATGCCTTACTGAGCTGTCAGTATACGAGGGCTGGGAGGCTGGAGAAAGAGCTTGGGTTTTGACTCCCTGTGTGACCCTGGGATCTCCCTTTTCTGGGCCTCCTTCCCCCATCTTCGAAGTTAGGAGGTTAGACCTGAACCCCTCACTCCACTTACCGACCACCTCGGATCTGGTGTCATGAGGGCTCACATGAGCCCTGATGGGGACCCCCAGCCAGAAGCATTTACCCGGACCCTGGTCTTCAGCTCGCACTCCGGGTCCCACCTGTTACTCAAGGAGTATTTGTTGAGCACTTACTGCAAGTAGGAAGTCCCTGTCCTAGGAGAGGGGATAAGGCACTGAGCCAGACAAAGATGTGGCTGGGACCTGGGCCCGCAACCTGCAACCCTGGGCTGTGGCACTGGGGAAGAGTCCTGGCTGGGAGGCCTGCCTCTGGCCTTGGCCCTGCCACGGATGCCGGGTGGGACCACAGGCAAATCCCTGCCACTACCTGCTCAGGCTTGGGACAGCAGCCAGGGCTCCTTGGCGATGGTTGCTGGAGCTGTCCCCTGC